ATCAATACTTGCTTTTATTTGATTTTTTTTTTAAGTTTCCAGCAGAGGGTGTCGCTTTAAATTAGTTTCTTCCACAAAAAAAACAACTTTTAGATGATTTCAAAGCTCTGTTTCCTCCCGTTTGTTTGTTAGAACCAGTGATGAACCGTTTTTAGATGTTTTATTTTATTTTGTTAAAACCTGTTTTCATGTCGGTGCTCGAGGAGAGTTTAATTCCAGACAGAAACTAAATCCATCGCAGCAGGCTGACGGCTCTAACATTCAGGATAACGTTCCATGTTTTCTCTTCACGTTGTGTTTCCGTCGTCCAGCTGCGGGACTGTCTGGTGGCCGAGGTCTACGAGTTGTTCCACAAGAAGCTGACCGAGCACGCTCTGATGAAGGACCCCAAGTTCCTGTGGTGCTGCCACGTGAGTTCTTCTTGGTCGGATCTAACAATCAGATGTCCTGCTCCACCTACAACTTACGTGCTTTTAATTCCTGCGTCCTCGTTTGGTTTATTTTAAGCTCAGTTTTTGGTGCACGAGTTCAAATTCAGACGTGGACCTTAGATTAGTCCATTAAGCTAATAAATGTGTAGCGTAGCAGGTTGTTACCTTCATGTTTTTGTAGCATTAATCTTAATTAAAATAAAGAATGTGCTGCATAAATAACGGTGATTTGACTTAAATTCATTTAGAATTTGTTTATATTTATTTTAAACCAAAGCAAAACAGGTCGAAGCAGCATTTTTCTACTGTTTTACAAACCGTTTATTGTCTTTTTGTGAACTTATTCTGTAAAATCTGCTGCTTTTCTTTTTAAAAATCCCTTTTCTGTCGCCTTTTACTGTGAAAAGAAACAAACAAAAGCACCTTGTGAACCCGAAGCACGAGAAAAAGTATCTAAACTCCTTTTCTCCACTTTAATCAGTGCACCTCCGGGTTTATCAACGACGGAGACCAGCTGAAGGTCACCTGCCCGTCCTGCCGCAAGAGTTTCTGCGCCCAGTGCAAGAAGCCCGTGAGTGTAATCCTTGTTTTTCCGATGGTGGTTATCTCAGAAATGAGGGAGGACGCTCGGCCTTGAAGCCCTGGCAGCGCTTCAGTCGGGTCACGAGCTCGCTCTGTGTTCTCAGTGGGAGCCCCAGCACCAGGACGTCACCTGCGAGCAGTTCCAGCAGTGGAAGAGGGACAACGACCCGGAGTACCAGAGGCAGGGCCTGGCCGGATACCTGAGAGACAACGGCATCAGTGAGCCGCCACTAAAACACTCAGCCTCTCTGTTTGTGCATCGGTTCGCCCGCCGCACTGTTTATATATCCATCACTGTTGTTTCTCAGTTGACTCACTTCCTGTTTTCTCTTCGGTTTCAAAAGCTCTCTTTTTGGAATTTTAGCTTAAAATAAAAACCGTATCGGGTTAAATATTCTTACACAACTTCATCATTTCCACTTTATCTTCTTCTCCGCTGCAGTAATCCAGCAGCTGTTGGAGTTACAAACCTGTGCAGTTTAGTTTCTGTTGGTTATAGTTTTATTTCTTAATTAAAATATGCTTAACTGAGGTGAAATATTAACAACACTTTATAATTTAATGTAGTCCAGCAAACCACCGCCACCGAGTTATCACCTTTACAACAACAACCTAAAATTTACAAGCTTCACATTGGTCACATCTCTGACGACACACTATACGCTTTGTTCAAAGCAGTAGAGAGAAGATAAAACGGAGCTTTTCAAAGCTGTAAAACTTTACGTAAACATGGAGGAGGAAGTGCAGAGCTTCACTGTTGACTCAAGCTTCTCCCAGCTTGACTCCAGTTTACAGCTTGTCAGTGTTTACTGACCCCAGCAGCACTTTGTGTGTTCACCAGCTTGTTGTTCCTCTTGCAGCGTGTCCTCAGTGCAAGTTCCAGTACGCTCTGACCAAAGGCGGCTGCATGCACTTCAGCTGCTCCCAGTGCAGATACCAGTTCTGCAGCGGCTGCAACAACCCATACCACAAGGTGAGCGCTTCTAGTTAACCCGCTCTACAAACATCTGCACATACAGTCCTGGAAAACACAACGTACTTGAGTTCAGGGACATTTCTGACCTTCTAGAATCTGGAAAATACACTAATTCTGAAATATTTAACAGTAAAACAAACCTTTCGATTGTCTGAAGGTGCTCGTAACAATTAAACTGAATAAAGCCTGCAGCTGTTGCAGCTAAAGATGATTTTAATCATCAAATAATCCGCTGATGATTCATGCAGTTCATCATTTTGGCCATGAAACGTCAACTTTACATGTTATTCACTTTACTTAATAATAACTAAAATGGCTTCTTGACTGTTAAAATAATTAATGATTATTTTCCTGTTGATCAATCGATAATAATAATTTAAAAAACAAAAACAATCACAGGTTAATGACTTTATAGGTCTGATTTTGTTTGATTAGTGGCCCAAAAACACCAAATATATTCAATTTACTATAATAAAATGACACAAAGTCGCAGGTTTGAGAGGTTTACAATTAATTTAATATCATTGAGATCATTAAAACTCTCGCAAATCTACTGGTTCTGTTTAACCAACTGTCCAGAACCCAAACATACTCGTTTTACTATCATGTAACACAAAGAAATCTGCTTTTTCTAAAGTTTAAGAACTTAAATCGATCATTTTTTGTGCTTAAAACATGTCTGAATTATCAGAATAGTTTCCAGCTTAACTCATTACGTTCTTGATCTGACAGTGTGACTCATTATTAGAGTCGTACAAGAATCTAGTTGATTCTGGAAAGGATGCAGCCTGAAGTTATGTTATTTTGCCGTCCCTAAAACTTCGCCTTCCTCCTGTTTTGTGTCTTGCAGACGGTGTGTAAGACGCCTCAGTGCAACTACAACGGCCTCCACGCTCACCACCCTCGAGACTGTCTCTTCTACCTCCGAGACTGGGAGCCCAACAGGCTGCAGGCGCTGCTGCAGGTAAAACAACCACGTTTATCTGCTCACATCTTGATTGTGCAGCTAAAGAATAAATTTAATGCCAGAGTTCAGGTCAGCTGGAGGAAGTTAATCACACTCTGTGGATATTACTCAGAGCTGAACAGTCGAGGATGTCGTCTTGTGATTAAAATCTGTCATCAGATTTTTTTTTACAGAAACTCAATGAAACCAGTGTTTAAACTGTGAACACAACTTTATTTGTGCTCGATGTTTCTGCTCAGGGTCACCAGGAAGTTGGGGAAAAAAAACCTTTTCACCCTTTTAACTGTCAACAAAAAATGTTTTGTTTCCAGTTTTTCTTCCACTTACTGAAGATAAACAGTCTCTTTGTGTTTAAATACATTTACCGGCGGATAAAGTGCTAAATGATTTTCCTGATCTGTCCCCTCAGAGGTGCGGCGTGGACTTCAACACAGATCCCTCCAATGGAGCTCAGACAGGTAGAGGAAGTTTTGTTTATTGTGGTAAAGAAACAGAAAATCGAACATGGAAATATTCACCTTTTGTTGTCCTGAGATTTTCCAGTAAACCTGAAATTCAGACAGAAGTTGGACAATATTTACTAAAACTGAATGATGCTGCGTGACAGACGTGGAGACGTGTTTCTGAAGCGTGTCATTGTTTTAATCGTTGTTGTGTCTTGTTAATCCAGATGCTTGTGGTGTGATGGAGCAGAAAGACGAGGGAGGCCAGCCGGAGGATTCACCGTGTGGCATCCAGACACAGCCGGGACAAGCTGGACTCTGCGAGTGAGTAATCAGACAAACTGCACGAGTCATCGTTTCATCTGCTGCTGCTGCTGCTTTGACAGCACTTTTAAAAATACAGCCAAACTTTAGGGCCTTTTGCAGAGAACTCGGAGCTTTTTTATAGAGAGCTACTTTGAGCTACACACAAGGTTTTTCATTTCCATGAGGGACGAGTGTCAAAACTGTAATCAGTCTTCATGAATCTTACTTTAAACCTGCAGATACGGATCTTTTTTTGCCTTTAGGGCAGCAGAAACATCTGGGCAGGTTGCCAAAACAACTCACCAGCAGTCATTTGGAGTCACACTTGTGTTTAAGAGCTCTGGTTTTTGCTCTTTGTTTGATCTCCTGAGGGAAATATTTGACTCTTTAGCTGCTAAAATATGAGCTGAAACTCAATTTAAAGCTGCAGATTTCGCTGCTATTTTGTCACCTTGTTGTTTATCGCAAACAGAACCTCAGTTTGTTCCCAGCTGAAATCAAATGTTTACTAAGAATCCAAGTTCCATGTTCATTCTTGACTCATCAGGTCATCTGTGGTCTGTTTTTAATCATCCAGCTGCAAGTTTAGACAAAGTTAGTTGTTGGGAGACGAGCACAAGTCTGTTTAGGAAGATTTGATTGAATACAGATTTTTTTTAAAGCTAAACATGTTGCACTGATCTTCTCTGTCTGTCCGTTGTTACGGATTACAAAGTGGTTCAGAGCTCAGTCTGCGGTCAAACAAAGCATCGAGTTGTAGAAAGAAATCTGTCGTTCAAGACAAATTACGCTGAAGCTTTGAGAACAAATAAACTTTAAATTTAAAGCTGCTAAAATCAGCTTTTTTTTTTTGTTGTTTTTCACAGAATCCTGTTGAAGCAAACTCTTTATTTTTAGCAGATTTTTAAACGAGACACGTAGAATAAAGTGATGTTGATAAAATATCGTGATTTTAATCCTCGGATTTGGACCAAACGCTGCATCACAGATCAAAAGTGTTCAGAATCGTTCTGTTTTTACGGTTTCTGGTTCTGACAAACGGTTCACTTTTGGTCATTTATTTAAAATGAAACATGTAGAACGATGCAGGAAACTGATGAAATATCATGATTATGAATTAAAAGTTGGACAATTTTTGAAAATCTGACATTCCATAAGAAACCCAAAGACCATCGGAAAGTTGAAAATCCAGTTCTAGTGTCCGACTCTGATAAACGCTGTAGTTTTGGCTGTTTTTTAAAGACAACGTGCTTTTCTTTGGGCTTCAGGCGGTTAAAGTTCTTTGCATTAATTCGTCCCGTTACTTTGCTAAAGCGACCTTCTGACAGTCAGCTCTGTGTGTGTGTGTGTTTGTGTTTGTGGCTGCAGGAAGCACTACAGAGAATACCTGGTGAGCCTGATCAACGCTCACACTCTGGACCCGGCGCTGCTCTACGACGGCCCCGAGCTGGTCCGGGCCTGCGAGCGATACCGGGTGGACACGCCCAGAGGAGAGAACGAGGAGGACAACGTTTACCAGGCTAGACTGCTCAAGGTGGGGCTGACGTACACTAAATACCTCATTACGACACCACATAGCAACGACAGAACACACTGTTCTGGTGAATGCTGTACGATAGCACATACACTATGACATACTGCAGCACCACAACACATGAATGTAGAACGTAGCTATATGGAACCACAACATACCAACAAGAAAATGAAGTTCTTATTCACTGTCTGGAAGATGTTTCCAAGATTTTAGGATGCATAGTTTACACACTACATGATGACAGAACATCCTAAACGAGTGTGTTTATGTTTGTACTGATGTATACGTACCTACATGTGTGAATGGGTTCCTAAATGAGTGAACATGATCGTGTCTTTTGTGTTTTTCTATTATGTGACTTTTTTTTTTCCCCTCACAGAAACTGATGGAGGTTCCTCTTGGAGAAAAGGTTCCTCGAAACAAATGAAGACTCCATGAACATCAGAAATCATCCTGAATCTGTCTGCAGAAGTCCACCTGAAGAAACCAGAGCGTTTTGATTTTGAAATCAGCTGCATTGTCCGGTTGTCCTCAACCAGCTGTTTAAATCGCCTGTGGAGGAATCCCGGATCCTTAATTTAGTGCCAAACAAACAGGAGAAAAAGTGCATTTGTGTACTGATTTGTGCTTAGGAACAGAAAAGTGTTGGTCTGTTTTTTTCACTAGAAACTACTGGAGCGGGTCTTTGTGATTTTCTACAGGTTGTGCCTTCATGTCACAGCGATGCAAACGTTTAAAGAAACTAATTAGTGTTTTCTGGGTTAGGGTCTTACTGGAATCTGACATTTTGATGATTTATGTTTTGCACTTGAATAAGAAAAATGTACGTTTAGAAGTGTTTCAGAGAAATGTAGCCATATTGGGCAAATATATGTGAAAAAGCAAATGACAATTAAATTTCTTATTCACTATCAGGAACATTTGTCTGAGATTTTATGGTGCTTTGACACAAGTTTTTTTGCGTCATTTTGGACGACACACTATAGTATGAATGTCACGACATTCTGAGACGTGACCTTTTTTGCCAAAAACGACATGCTATAGTATGACTTTTTTTTTTAGGCCAACACACAAAATGTGTCATTTTTCATTAAATACTTTCCTAAGGTGTTTTCTACCACCTGCATTACACTATTTGCACTATATACTACATAGTGATGGCTACAGGGTGGCGCAGTTGGTAGCACAGCTGACTCACAGCAAGAAGATTGCTGGATTGAGTCCCGGTGGGGGCACCGGAATCTTTCTGCGTGGAGTTTGCAGGTTCTCTCTGTCTTCCTCCCACAAGATCCAAAAACATATTTCCATAGGTGTTTTCTACCACCTGCATTACACTATTTGCACTACCTACTACATCCTGACCCAATTTCATGACATTCTGAGACGTGACCTTTTTTGCCAAAAAAATGACTTTTTTTTTTTAGGCCAAAACACAAATTGTGTCATTTTTCAGGAAATACTTTCCAAAGGTGTTTTTTACCTCATGCATTACACTATTTGCACTACATACTACATCCTGACACGTTTTCACGACATTCTGAGACGTGACCTTTTTTGCGAAAAACGACATGCTATAGTCTTCCGATCTACGT